TTCCCTGCTTAAAATCGGAATTTTTGACTTTAAACGTGTGTAACAACATTTCAGCCAATCCAAGGGGGGTCATTTTATACATTTTTGAAATGCCACAATTTTTAGCTATTTTTAGAAATTCTTTTCTATGTTTCGTCAGGGGTACTGATGTAGTGCACCTAGTGTATGACACTAAAACATCAATAAGTCAATGAGAACACCGTTTTTTTGGGACCACAGTAGTACCGTTAAAAAGAGTTCGTTTTTGTTACGTCTTGTAGCGTTCTTGCAATTATCGGTCCGAATTTCGTCCGGGGTTGCTATCTTTATATAACAATTTTTTACAATTCTTATGTCATCTACGTTTTTTTGATTTTGCGGTCCAAGTCTAAATGTTACCTGAACCTCTGGTAGAGGTAATTAGCTAAAATTGGACCGGGACCGGAGGTTTCGGTTTAAATTGAAGTTTACCACGATTAAGTTTTACGGTGTTAATTTATAAAAAAAGAGAGAGAGAAAAAAAAAAGAGAAATAAACCGGATGATGATATAAACTGTTTCCACTCGACCCTCTAATACTTCCTACAGTAGTCGCTCGATTTAAGGGTGTTCGATTTAAGGGTATTTTCTATTTAAGGGTGGATTTTGGAAAAACAGCTTCCGTCCCCAGCATTAACACCACTAAACCACTATTCTATTTAAGGGTGAGATTCCGATTCCCCATACCCTTAAATCCAACGATTTGACAGTGTATTTTTGACTTTTTTCTAACTTTTTGATCAGATTTATTGAATGTCCGAATAAAAATAAATATTTCGCAGTAATGATCGTATTTCACGGTTAAAAATGGCGTAGTGACTTCTGTTTAAAATAGTCACGCTTTTCGATTTAAGGGTATTTTCTATTTAAGGGTGAGATTTCCGAAATTTTTGGTCACCCTTAAATCGAGCGACTACTGTATGATGACTGTGGCGCATATGCTCGTATGTAGAGAAAACAAAATATTTTAGTCTATTACTTTGATGATGAGAATTTAAAAAAGTAAAAGACAACTACAGATAAGCATGTATTATAAAAGATACACACATAAGTTTTTTTAAAAAAACACGTTGAAGCACAGATCTGTGCATGCGCAAGTAGCAAATTGCCATTTTGCAAGAGACAAAAACATCTGAGGTTATTTTCTGGCTGAAGATTAGCAGGTAATAATGAAGAGCGAAGTTTATACATGGTTTTCTGTGCTTGACGGAGGCTGTCAACGACAACAAGAATGATATCTTTGTCGCCCTTCACTATTAAAAAGTCGGCAATATCCCATTAGTGAAGACGCACGAGGGGTACGATATTGCGGAATCTCTTCAAAGCGATGGGTAGGAGAGGAATTGGGTGTCGCCACACCACAAACACACAAAAAAAAATAGAAGATCATTTATTACAAAAAAAAAGAAGAGTTTTCATAAGAAGTATCCTATCCTGCGTAACAATCAATCATATTATTATTGGCTCCAACACTTGCTCTATATTCCATTTTTTCTTTTTTATAGTATCACATATTTGAAGCTTGTCCAATAATGATTTTTTTTTCTGTTGCCAATAAGTGCATATCGGGTTTTGTTCAACTCCTTATTGTTTACGAGCACTGTTTAATTACATGGAATAAAAGTCATGTTCTTTTTTGTTTCATCACAGTAATTTAAATCATTAGATAGAAAACACATGTCAGAATTTTTTTATACAAACAATGATAATTTAATACTTGGAAATAAAAATAAAAAAAAACCCCTTGACTTTAAAAAAATCATAGAAATAAAGAAAATCAATTTTTCAATGTAAATTGACGGGGATAGCCATCACAGGAGATGTTCTTTGGTTGGGTCGGGGAGGGTACCACGATGGGCTTTTCTTTAATTCATCTGACTCATTTAATTTCTTGATGCTCGAGCTTGGATACGAAACATTCGCATTGTCCTTTGCATTCATGGTAAGGTTTCTACAACTCATCCATTCATCTCGGGTAGCTACCAAGGTAACGCAAAGAGATCTCATGAATTGGAAATTTGTGACATCAGACGTAATGATATGGTAATCAACCTGGTTGTTGACATAGATGGTGTTGAATTCATGATTAACGCTATATTTAAAAATTTCTAACCCACAGAATGGAAAACAACTCATTTCCCTCTTGATGTCACTTTCCAGCGAGTCAATGATATCTTTGGTTTCTACTAGCAATTTTGTATGGTCGAAGTCGAACTTTTGCTTCGGAGGATCCATTCGACTAGCTTCCATTTTCATCATGTCGTACTCCTGGTGCTGTTGTCCTTCTTGTCTATCGTAAATGACGCGAACGTCAGCCCTCAGGCGGCTTGGCAACATTGAGCATGAGCTTTCGCCTTATCTCAATCGTAAACCCGTGTTTTGCACAAGCTTTTCCAACAGTGGCCCCCAGAATTTGACAATAAAGTCTTGCTCATTTTTTTTAATATTTTTGTCAAACATGTATTGATTATGAGCAATAACTTCGGTAATAAAAGCATGGGCAAACAGAGTGAAAGCTTGGTCTTGTGTTAACTTGCTTTTTTTTATATAAGTACTTGTAGATGTAATCACTAGCCTTAATGATATCATTTTCGGCTAACGGCTCTGCTCTACACAGCATCTTTTCGACTTTTGATTTCATAGCAAGTGACCCTGCATTCCCCTTTCTTGCAAGTGAAGTTCTCAGCTTTCTCCACTGATCAGGAGTGAATAACACTGACTGAGCTTCCGAGTAATTATACGACAAATCCAAAATACTGTTTAAACCAAGCCTAACACGTAAAGTATGAGTTAGCACTGTGTCTTCCTTTAAAGATATTACATGATAATTTACTTACGTAATAATTGGCTTCAATGTATTATCTTGATAATAATTAAGATAGAGTGAGATAGCTGAGGTTTTGATAATTGCACCCACAGACCTTTCCAATCCTTGTAACAATAGCCCATCTTCTTCTTGGATCTACAATGTATAAATGAGTAAAGAGTGAACACTTAAAGAAGTGGAAAATTTCTTACCTCTGCAAGTTGTGGTGGCTGTAGTTGTGGTTGTGATTGTGGCTAGCTTGAGATAGTTTTACCCTTTTTATTTATACTTTCAAGTAAATCTGCATGATAAGTATTGTTGAAAATAATTGCCTCTTTTAAAGAGCGCTTGAATGATGCTTCAGCCCTTAGGTCTTGTGGATCATTTGAAAGTGTCAGGAACGTGGCTAGGAATATATTATAGGAATAATATCAGGAGATACCTACTAGTTATACAAAGACAAAGGAAGAGAGGTTTAAAAGTATTTAGTAATAATAAAGAGATTATACAGGGAAGGGGAAGGATACAAGATAATCGACATGGAACGGGGAAGGCGACGGAAAGGGGGAGTATTTATATCTTTTCAGATAACATGGGTTTGCATTTAAGAATGTCTTGGCTTACTTAATTAGTCTTAGTGTTGGTTTCAGCTTACGTGGCCGAAACCCATGAGTCATGATTACTAATTGCTTGGCGTCGGTGATACTTGGAAACGAGTCATGATTACTAATCTCTTGGAAGCGGAGGTTCATTGCGTGGATAGTCTTGGAAGGTCCTGGCAGGTGGACACTGGGGTTGTTGAATCTCAGCATGAGATTCCAGAACATTCCAATAGTCGGGTATTCGTGGTCAGGGGCAAAGTGCAAAGTATGTGGTTCATGACAGATAGATGACGTATGCGGAGATTTTGTGCTGGCCTTTGATTGTCTTGCGCCCGTCGCATACATCACATTTGATATATAATATGTGGCTACGTGTTTCCTTTGTTCCTTCTTTACATACAGACCCGTCGTCCATACATCATTTTCTCACTAATAGAGATTACATCGACCTTCTAATTGTATTGCCCTTTAGATATAAATTAAACTATCAAGTAAAAAAATAAAATAAAAAAAAGAGTACTGAAGTTTGTCAACTATTTTCCATTTTATACACATGCTCTTTGTTCATTACAAAGACTTATTTTATCCTATGCCTTACTTTAGTACCAACGTTTTTTATATAACAAAATATACAGGCTCATGTTCCTGTTAACCTTTATTTAAGAATGCATTTTATGGTTTGTATTGAATGCCATCACGCCTTCATTCTGTTAATCATAATATACACTACAATCTTATACTTTCATCTTTACAAGTTGCACGAAGAAATATATTAAGAAGATCAGCTTCTCAGTCTTTTTTGATACATCCTTTTAGTGCTAGCGTTGTTTGCTTTACCATACCACATTGAATCTTTTTTTGCCTGTGCAGTATTATTCTTTACTCGTTCTCATCATCCTTCTGTGCAAACAAAATGAATCTATCAGTACTGTTCAAAGTCAACCCCCTTGCACTTTTAGTAAGCCCCCTTCATAAAGAAGCTACTTTATTTTGCCATCAACCAATGCGCTGTTTCAGCCAATAATAATGCGGCTTGTCGTTACACAGGATACGATCTTTCCTATAAATACACTTCCTTTTTTTCATTTTTAAGATATATTATTTAGTTTTGTGTTCACCTAAAATTGGGATTTATCTTGTAATTGATACTAGTAGTATTTCCTCCTCTTTTTGTTGCTGTTTGTTGTCTATTGTAAATTATACAATCACATAATCTTCTTATATAAACCCGTCGTAAACTCTTTTCTCTTTGACATCTAAGAACTATATTCTCTTCTCATTTCTCACTGTATTATTATCGATTTGCGTTTAATTGTCTTATCCATATATTTTATCGTCTAAGATCACTACAGAAATACTCTTAATAAACAATAAAACTAAGTTGACAACTAAAAGCCTGGTGCTCACTATCACAATTGTTATATAATTATAATTGTCCCTTTTTAAATCTAAATTCGTACTAACGCTATATCAGCGCTTATCATGAACAGGCCTCCATGATACTGTCTCCCTTTTCCTTTTCTTGTTTAGCTTGACTCATTTATAAAGACGCTCGGGGTTCGTGTTCCTTGTCTATCACTTCACTCTGTCTTTGCTGACTGCAATTCCTCTACCCAAACTGATGACTCTATACATGGAAGAAGAATCTCGTACTGATTCCTTCTCATAGGTCTTGGCACTTTAATAGAACGACTTACCGCGTTAGTCTTTCACATTACCTTACTACCTTTTTCTTGTGCGTTACATTGTAAAGAGCCGTTACTCTTTAAAAATAAAAGGACAAAAAGGAAAAAAATAGAACCCGGTCTTTTTAAGTGCTCTCCCCTTTGATATTCTACTGTGTGATCATCATAATCAATCAAACGATGCAACTTTTAAAAAAGTAAAAGTAATTCATTTCACATACGCAACATTAATTATATTTTTAGCTTATTTTTTATTGCTTTAAAATCTACATAGGCTAATTCGCCGATATTCTTAAGCGTGCTGTCATCAATTTTCAAAGCACGTAACTTCTCCGTCAAATCCTTGTTTTTCTTAATATAACCAATGATAGCATGAATGTCTCAATCATTGAATCTTCGCATCTGAGTTGTCGAATACACTGTAAAAATTACTGCTGCGCCCTGATTGAAATGCTGTAATAGCAAGTTGAATTTTCTACCGGCTGCTTTCAGGGTGTCGATCTTGGAATATTTATAATTGCATTCTATTTTACATGTTAGTTTTAATTCGATGTTGTTGTTTTTACTATTATTAGTAGTCTTAATTACTTTTTAAAAAATCTACAACTGTAGCATGAAAGCCTGGGTAATCTTTCTTGATTGTCTCACAGAGGCAAAACAAACGGAATGCACCAGCGTATTGGATTAATAATCCCAGATTTCCATATCGTTCCCCGTTATCATGATATCGATGGATATCAACAATATACTTCGTCACCGCTTCTTTATTAGTATCATCAAGTAATTGAGGTGCAATTGGAACATCGATCCTCTTCAATCTGACATCCTCAGCCAATCCTTCTAAATTCTCTTGAACTTTCTCCAAGTCCGGAAGAAGTGATTTCGCAGTTTGTTTCAACTGCTCTACATCTACCTTATCATTCTTGTTGTGCTCCGGATTATCATTGGTTTTATTATTGTCTTTGGCCTTAGAAATATTATTTTCTTGATGACGATCATTGTCTTTATGATCGTCATCAAAATATTCTGCGTCATCATCGATATAGGGATCGTTCTGTATGTTTTTCGTTTCTTACCAGAACCACTGGCACTTGTCACCTCAATTATGACTCTTTTTCTTGGTGTTGCCATTGGTCTTCCTTCAACAGGAAATACTGTTGATTGATCTGATTATGTACATGTTAAGGTACATGCACAAATATACGTTTTTTTTTAAAGAATAAAAAAGAGCTAACCTTTTGCTGGCAAAGTAATCTCTGCTTCATCCAAACATTCCATGATTATTTGAGTATGTTGGTTTGGATCTATAGAATACAATTAGCTATTTTCCTTTTCATGAACAACCATACCATGTACTTACAGTGTTGTTTCAATGCATCAAACATTTTTTTAAGCTGGTTCTTCATAGGCTCAGGCATTTTAATCGTTTGACGATAAAGAGAAAAAAAAGAAAAACACAAATTTGACATCAATTGCTTCTTTTTAAATGCAAGCGGAGTCAATCGCCACTTTTTTAATTGCATGAAGAGTCGATCGCGTACCCGTCAAAACGCGACTTTTTTTTATACAAGAATACAAATTAAATTAATCCATTGTTCTTTTACGCGGTCTTCCCATCACACCAGCGCGAGTGCGGTATTGAATACTACTCTTACTTTATTACCAAAGGTAACTTTAGTGTCTCTATTCCACGATCCTTGCTTCCACACTAAATAGTAAAAACAAAAATAAAATTAAAGCTTTCATTGCCATACGTTTGAAAAGATGCATGAAATACCTATTCTTAAAAAACCATTTGGCTGTCATCCCATAAAATGGAATCATAAAATCACATAGTTATTACTTTGGCTTTTAGTTCGGATCGACACATATAACCCAAAGACCATTACATAAAAACACATACTACCTGTCGCATTTATTTAAAGGGGGGAAAATAAAAACCGTTTTACCTCAGGTTGGAAATAAATAAAAAAAAAGGACGGAGGGAGGGGAGATACTGACCTTTATCAGTTTATGAAAATAATAAAAACAAAAGAACAGCCTGCTTTTTGTAATATATACTTGGTTCAATGACTTTAATCTTAGGGGCTATAAAAGCATAAAACTAGCACAATTAATATATTAAAAATTGGAGGGGTAATAGTTTTTATTATTTTTTATACGAGTATGTCGATGATGCGCTGTATAATGCCTTACCTGTAATCCCTTTTTTCTTTATCATGCTGAAAGAAGCAACCATAGAGTTTATTTTTGAGGACTACCATAAGTAATAAAAAATCCCCCTCCCCCTTATGCTAAGAATGGGGAGTTGTTTATAAATATTAAATACAGAGTAATGATATTTAATAAAGACATACCAACTGACACTCAATAAAAATAGAACGTCTCCATATACCCTCTTATTTCACGCACACTATAATCTATAATAGACTCTACATAATGCGGCTGTATTTAATTCTTTTTCTTTATAGGCAGCAGAAATCTATGTGCAGTCAATAGGTGTTACCTGTAATACTAATAGGGACACAAACAGGTCTCATGCATGTATTTTACAAGTAAGCCATCATGTCTGATCATAACTATCAAGTTTACAACACTGCTTTGTCTTTTAAAAATGCTTTTCTGGTGCCGCTGTTTTATTCCTTTGCGAAAAAAAAAAGTTTGATTTATACCATCATAAGATGGATCATATTTTATAAGTATCAGCATGCTCTTGTTTATAACCGACTAGTTTAACGGTTAATTGTGGCAAAAAAATATACATGTATGCAATTTATACGTGTAGGCTACATCTTTTAAATATACAGGTACTAAGGGATACAGACTATGGATTAAACACACAGACAGACTACCCTTGGCATGTTAAATAAACGGTATAAAAAAGGAGCCTTCCCTTTTGAATGTAAATTTAATATAGGTGTTCCGATTGACCCCTATTCCTTTTGTTGGATTTCGTTGCTATGCCTGCTCATCACAAAAAAAGCCGTGCCTTTAAAATCCATTTTTATACTAGCTTTAAAGTGGTAACTGTCCCCCACTTTTTATAAATTATAAAGGGAGCTTCATATTATTCTTTTTTCTTATGATACCGTCCTTAATCAGTGTTTATCCTTGCTAGCCCTTAATAACTGGTAAAATAATGGTTGCATCTACGAGGAGCTTAGCTGGAATTGAAGAGAGGATTGTTTACCTAATTGGGAGAATGATAACAAAAACGATTTATATCCCAAGATTGAACTTTCTTTTAAATCAAATGACATGCTCTAATTTAATAATAATAAAAAAGGAACAGTGGTAATTTATACAGTTGTTTATTGCATATTTATTTAAGATAGTTATGCCCGCGCATCTATAAAATAGAGACCAAATACAACATGTCGAAGAAAAGATGTCTCAAAATAGTATCCTTTAAAGAGAACCTTCACTTAAAAAAGATGACAGAAATTAACATACAAAAAGGCAAAGGGAAAATTACATTGAACAGCACATGTAAAAGAGGAAAAAGATTGACAGTAAGATGCAAAATCAATTGATACAAGGTAAAGATTTGAACTTATAAACAGACTATTTAACATATTTTTAAAAAAAGGATTAAAACGGGACGGATTGTAATTCAATAGGGAACATCTTTTTATCTGAGACATAACAGCAACTACCGATGGGTTTACGTGTATTACCTGACCAGTTTAAAAATGGATAAAGTTGAAAACCAGGAATTTGAAACTTATCAGTTGATAAAGTCCATGTTTCGTTTAACAGTATAATATCAGAGGACAAATATACCGGATCGTTGATGATTTGATTCAAGTGAGCATTTTGATTCTGGACATTGTGTGATATAACTTGAAAATGAGATCTTGTGATTAAGACAGTGAATGTGGGAGAAAGAGTGATGGAAAGCTGTCGTTTGATTTCTTTGTAAAGAGCGCTATTTTTTTCTGACGAAAGTGCTTTGGGTGGGATAAACTTCTTGTTTTTGGAAATAAGTGTACGTCCTGCAGCGGTAGTTGCCCGTGAATATCCGACATAAATGAGTGACCTCTTCATTCTATGTTTTGCAGTATCATAAACTACAACATCTTTGTAAGTTCCACCTTGATACTTGTTAGTCGTTAAGGCTTCTGCCGGTCCTAAAGGAAATTGCTTTCTGTCGACTTGTAGCTTGGTTGTAAAGTCAGATGTGATTATAAGATAACAAGGTTCAATCATAGTCCATGTATCGTCCAAAATGCAATTAACTTGTCTTAATATCACCTGGCTTTTGCGCAGGATAGCGCCACTTTTCTCATTACTGAATTTTAGCCAATTGCGTAACAGTTTTTTTCACTTGCCGGATTGTTTCTTAATGTCCCAAAATCAATTTTCACCAAATAACCAGTGCTGACATTTACCAATCCATCGGAAATGTCGATATTGACTACAATCATGTATCTTGCTCCGATTTTAAGGATTAATGTTTTTAGCAATCCCAGAGTTTTCAAACTGTGAGTGGAATCGTCAGATACCGAGGCAAGAATACGGTCCACATCGTATTTTTTGGTTAATTACCAATGTTACGATCAAAACCAAAAGATAAACTACCCTCTGTGTTCGTTTTGTCCAAAATAGCGTTGTTCATGACACTTATTTCAGCGTTCGTATGAAACAGGCATATTGGTCTTTCAACATTGCTTTGACCAAAATTCCGTACGACATTCAGGTGGGGGAAAATTGGTTGGCCATTGTTCAATTTGATCTTTTCTTCTTCTGTCATGCGGAGAACTCGGCTTTCGAACAACTGTATGTCATTTGGTGTCATCCCACCAATGGCCTTGTTGTTCCATGCAATTGCAAAGCGCAAGTCGTCCCTTTGCCTCGCAATTTGGGTCAGCTTGTCAATTTTGAGATACTTCCATCAGTTATTACCCAATACTGCAAGATAAGGGTCTTTAGGTAAATTTGTTGAAAAGAGAGGCGAGGAAATGACCGGCGGGAGCTGGAAAAAGACACCAAAAACAATAACAGATTTTCCACCAAATGGGACGGATTCATCAAAAATGTCTGGAAGTCTTTTGTCAATCCAAGAAAACATGAAATTTCCGACCATGCTAATTTCATAAATAATTAAAATCTTCAAATATTTTAATGCAACTGCCATGGAGTGGCTGACGTCTGCAGAAAGAATGTTGACACCACCACAACCATACTGGTTTACTGGAAGCTGAAATGCGCCATGTAGGGTTTCGTCATTGATATTGAAAGCAGCTTTACCGTGGGTGCGGTAAGCAAAACAATCGGTGTGTTTATTTCTGTATCCCTTTCACCGTCGAATTCCACATTTATACGTTCATACAATGATTTAATTGGCATTCGTTTTCCTACACCGGCACCACCACTAACAAAATCACGAAACGTTGCAAAGGTACGTACTGACTCGTTGTCACTACTAAACATGCGGATTGTCACTCTATCACGATTGTATCTTATATGATTTAGGATGTGACTGAAATATTCGCGTTGTTTTGTGTTCAACTTGGATACCAGCTCGTAAAATTCAGCCTTAGATAGCCGGTCAGGTAACTTGAATTTTTCCAAGTACGTTTTTTGGCTGTTGTCTCTCGAGTTATTGTGTAAAAGATCATCACCAAGATCGTTGCTTCGATGATAGTTACCCTCATTAGAGTCATCAATGTCCAAAGTATATCGACCAAAATTATTAATGATATCGCCTGGTACTTCAGTGTTTTCTTCATCTTCAGAACCACCATTAATATGATCGGCCGTCTCTTTATTCAATTGTTCGATGTAAATGTCCAACGTACCATCGGCAATAGCACAAAATTCTTTTTCCCGCTCCATAACCAAATTTATGTTAGCATTGAATACATCTTCATGTATTATGTCTAACAATTTTTTTCTTCATCTCTCCAAGGGTTATATAACTTGATCAAGGTTCTAAAAAATTCGGAAGGCTCTTTTTGAAGGTTGAATTTGTAGTACCGGATAACTTTTCACTTGGCTCTACAAGTTAAAAATCCAGAATCATTTTTAAGAACAAAGACTTTTCCTGCAGGACCGCCCAAGTAATGTATCAAGCGGGGGGCCATCATCACCAGATCCATCAGGTAAGTTGATATCAGAAAAGTTCCTATCATTATTATCATCACCATCATTTTCTTCTTGACTGGTGTTGCGTTTCCTCTTTGGTAATTTTCGACTAATTTCATAATAGGCAGCAAACTGAGCCAAATTAATGTCTTCTGGGCAATCAGGTCTATTCGTATAATTATCAGTTAAACTAGGCACAAAACAGTTAATTGAATCAGGGTTCAATTTGGCTAGTTCCTCTTGACTTTTAAGAATGTGTTTCGATTTGTTGGTCTCGAAGTAGGTGTTGTGTTTTGAGCTAAGTAAAAATTATAAGGCAGTTTATGAATAA